GGGGGGGGGGGGGGGGGGGCCGAGGATGTTTCATCTGTGAGGAAGTGTGTTTTCATGTGATTTCATGTGGCTCTTGACCTGCCTTTCACTTTGAGCTCAAGATTCAATCATAACTCGCATTGCTCTCCAGGGAAACTCTGGCCTGGGATGGCACTCCAGTGATATGATGGGCACGAGGAACTCTAGCTCTGAACAGCGACGGGATTAAATCACGTCCATTAAAATGCTTAAATTTAAATGTGAGAGATTGTTCTGCAGTCCTCGTGCACTCGCCTCATAAAGCTTCATCAGCAGCCTGAGTTCATTGGGCGCTTCCTGCGCATCGAAGGTCCTTTCCCAGTCATGGAGCTTCTCCAAGTGCCAATCATGATTTCCAGCAGTATAGACGAACGGGACTTGTAACCTCAGAGCCAGAGGAGGAATTACATGTACAGCTTCGTTTGTTAAAACAACTATTTACTTCAGCATGACCGGGTTTCCCGCCACTCCTCCATACCCTCTTGCAAATGGAGTTGTGTGCAAATGCTTCCCCTCCGCGCATCAGACGTGAGACTTAGCAGGTTACGCGAAAAGAAGCTTTCTTACGGCAAGCACGGAGAAAGCAAGCAGTTAAATGAAAAGTGACTTGTTCAGCTCCTTGTACAAATCATCCACAGATGACCTGGCTCAGGGCTCACCGCGTTTGCTTCGTGAAAACAGCACTTTTTCTTATCAGGTTAAATTTGCAACTACGCATGATGGCATAATAAAGAATACTCCCTGCGAAAATATCTGAAACAAACTGCGGCATACTGCGGTGTTTGTGCTTTTGGCGAAAAGCTATGCTTTAGCACCTTAGAATGATGCAGACTATGGATTCCAACCAACAGTCGAAACTCAAAACTTGAGCCCCCTCTGGTCTGAGGACAAAGAAAAACAGCTCCAGATCAATGGCTTGCGGATGATGATTTATGAGGCAACCAAGGCTCTGGGAGGGGAAGTTTATCAAGTCCCCGCCGATCGCCACAACATCCACAGGGATCCTGCAGGCTGTAATCACTTTTGCCACGTCAGCTGTTCCAAGCCCTCTTGGCTCTCTTAAGGCTGTGGCCTGTGGATGTCGCTTGGTGCAACTGACACGCATTGAAGTTGAGCAGTCGTTCCATCAGAAGTTTCATTCAAAAGGACGTCTCCTACAAGCGCATGTACTTTAGTGGTGGCAGCACAAGCATGCCGGCCATGCAGACGCTGCAGAATCATAACGAATGCAAAGCGGTGGAAACTACGTTGAGGTTCAAGTTGTGCTGTGACTACTGAGACCGAGACCATGATCTCGACAAGTTGGACACCCGACGAGCAATAATGCATTAAACGGTACGACGAAATGACTTTTCTTTTGTGTGGTGGGAAGCGCATCGCGCCGGGTCCGTCGCCTTCGCCGGAGCAGGGCTGTACGGCGCCGGGGACGCTTTCCGCGAAGGCGGCTGCTTCATGACCGGGCCACGCCGCTTCCGCGGCCGTCGCCAGCGTCCGACACTGGAGGCGCGACCAATGCCCAAAGTAGCGGGCAAGGTCCACGCCGACGTCGACGGCGTCTTCCAAAATGGGAATCGGACGCAGTGTACGATGTCATGGCGCCAGCAGGAGTACTAGGACTAGGAAGCTCTGAAAAACGTCGGGCGACGCAAAGCCTGCAGTAGCTGCAGCATATGCGTCGTTCGAAGGACTTGTCCCTGCACAAATTACATGTGTTACACGGAAAGTCATTGACTGGCTGAGTGAATGAATGTTAACAAGATGCTACAAGGTGTTTGGCAGTCCAAACTTGGGTTCGGCGATTCACGTCGATGCTGCCGTGTTGGCCAAGGATGCGAATGTGGCGTGGTCAAGATGCACTCCAACAATATCATTACATGTGTTTAGCCGAACTCCTTCAAAACGATCGGCAAAATGCGAGGGAAACCTGTATGTGTGTTTACATCGTCCTTGCTATTCACACATTCCTCGATCTCTCTCGGTATCATCTAAGACGTGCTGGAAAACATGACCCCGCAGCAGCAACATCGAACCTGCAAATTCTGAAGATCCAACAAATCAATTACCAGTACGGCCCCAACAAATCCTGAACCCAAGCCGCGACAGTTCATGCTGTGTCCCCATGGAACAGCAACAAAAGACTACGCCAAGAGTACCAAGCGGCGATTCAGCAAACCGAAGCGCTTGCTTCAATTCGAAACCTGCCGCTTGGAGGATGGAGATTGGTGCACTAGAAAGACCGACTCGCGCTGGAAACAACCGAGCACTGGCCGAAGGATTCGGACACTGGGGCCCCGGATTTGCACGCGCGCGCACGGGCCCCGGATTCGCGCACCGAAAATTCTCGCACTGAGAGCGCCTGATTCGAGCACCATGGGTTCGTGCACCGGCGCCGCGGAGATTCTCGCGCCAACAACCCAAACCCATGTAGGCCCTAAACCAGAAAACCCTAAAAACTCGGCGCTCCTCGGCCAGACCCCGAACCCTAACTAAAGCCGTAAAACTTAAGAACCCAACTCATGATCCTCAACTGCACAACTCTAAAACCGTAAAGCCCTAAACAGTAGCATGCACAGGCCTGAAGACTTGGCTCTCATGGCCTATTGATGCCCAACCTCGAATCACCCTGTAAATAGTATGCTCTCGTCGGCGGCTGTGTCCTTACTCGACGTTGGCGCGTACTCACTCTAATATCCCTGAGGCCGAAAATGCTTCTACTCGGCTCCCCTTGCCTGGCAATACCCTAAATCCTTCTTGCTCGACACCCCAAATCCCGAAATGTTGCAACTGTCAAACCGTAACCGCCTGAACCGCCTTAACCCTACCCTGAAGTCGAATGCTCCCGAACACATCCTAAACCCCTGCAAACTCAAACTAAGCTCTCCTCTTCCTGTTTGAAACCGTGCATCCCCGAATCCGGAAGTCCCGAAGTCGACCCGGCAACCGTGAATCCCTAAACCCCGCCCTAGCTTCCAGTGCATGAATCTGCTACTGCTTGAGTCCTGGGTGCTGCTTGAATCGGAGATGGTGCTTGAATTGCAGTGCTCCACGCGCTCTTTTACGCTTGCAGTCGAAAGCTTCAAGGATCTTCAAGGCTTCAGGATCTTCGGGGCAGAGCACCAGCTTCCAGGAGCTTGCCACATGACATGTTTGCACTTTGATGAAGGCTGAAGATCCTTGGACTGAGGTCTAACTCTTCAAGCTTCAACTGCATCCCTTCTCAAGTTCATCAGATCCCATTTTGCCGAGCAGGGAAGGTGGACCCGGAATACTGGGAATTAAATACTGGGAATAGTCCAAAGATTGCATGCAAAAACAGCGAGTCCCAAAAAGAGCCCACGGCACCACGGGGACCTGTGCTGGTCCGCACGCGCGTGTCGAATCGCTGTGGCGCAGCGAAGGCCCTGTGGCAGAACATCTTTCTGACCAAGTTGGCTTCCTTTCCGGCACTCCTTCGGCCTAGCTCATTGGAATGCAAGGGACTGTGCTAAGTTAGTGATTAGTGGTGCAGATGCATCCAAACAGTAACAAGTCATTCGTTCGACGCAATACATCTCACCCGACATTCCTGTGCATCCGATCCGACCACGGGCTAGCATCAGACTCGCGTGAGAAGTGGGTGTCCGGAACATGCAAGATCCTTGGCTTTTTGGTTTGACTTGACTTGCAAACTGGATGCTGGCCGGCATCAATGTGTAACTGCCACCATGCATCTTTATCAGGGCTTCATGCTGAGACTTCGGGACCTTCGGACCAAAAGAATGAACAAATGCATGGCAATCAATATTCCATCGTGTCCGCCTCGGTACTCGTCTGAGGCAAGCGACTGATGTTAGCAGGGTTTGGTTCAGATCAATGAACTCGACATCGTAGAGCTCGTGGGACCACGTCACATCACTGCCCGATGTCAGAGCGGCAAGAAGGCTCAGAGTGAACCGCATCGACGAAGAGCCATCCAGCAGGCTCTGCTGCAAGAGCCACAGGAAGCCGCAGTTTGACACTTAGGCCTGTGATCTACACACTGTGCCAGGCTGCCTTCATAGCACTCGCAACATCAAACTCTCCTTGCCTTGATCTCTTTCTCGATTTCAGCCTTACTGTGGACAGCAGCCTGCAGTGCATCCTGGAACTCCGAGAATCAGAGCCCTTCCAATCCAGCACTTACGAAGAAAAACTTACTTAAAAGGTCCATGGATGAATGAAGTACAGAAGTCGGTCCTTCGCTGACACTGCCTCAGCCTCAGCACAGAATGGCTGTGTACTTAACCATCATCAACCAGCCATGCTCCTACGAATGCTAAATTGCGATGCAGGCGTGTCACGCAGTCCGCCGCAGTGCTAATCGGAAGCGATTCCCACTTCAAACTGGTTTGCCACTCTGAAGCCGCACAAAGACCCACAGCATGCTTGAAAACCGTGTAACGGCTCATATCCGTACATGTCTGGGGCCTGGGGTTCTGAGGCCAAGACCTTGGCAACCCGAAGCTTCTCTTCGCAAGATGCCAGCGCCTAGCGGCAGCATGCGCCTTTCGTCTGCCAGTTTTAGCAGTGATTCGGCTCGAGAGCCTCCTTGGCTGTCGTCACGGCCTGCGACCGTGCAATGGCCTGACAGTGTTCAGGATCAAGCTTTGGCAAAAGCAAGGGTTTGGGTATGTCTTTTTCAGCAACTCTCCTTGGCCCGCATGTGCGGACCTCTTGCTCAAAGTTGTCCACCTTTTCCCGCAGCTTCTGCAGCCGGGTGGTTATGGCCACCTTGCGATGCCAACCCAACTTATCCCTCGTCACAATCAGCCTTTCAACACCTTCGACGGCAGAGAGCGGAGCCTCCGCAAACTGCACTGCGCAAAGGCTAAACCTGCTCACACCACCATGACACTTCCGGTTTCAAGACTCTGAGATGTCATGCTTGGGGCCAGTGACACCACTGTCAGGTCAGAGCAGTCTGTGATGGTAAAATGTCAACCCTGTGGCCCAAACGATGCACCACCATCGAACCACGCTGTCGCCAACAAGGTTTCATCCAACTCGTCTTATGTTCAGCGGTCTAGACCTTTTAGGCTCCTTGGACTCGACAGCTGAAAGCACTTGAGAATCTGGGTTACACACATCGGTCTTCAGGGTTCCATGAACGGGTCCAGCTTCCAAGAGCAGACTTAGGAACTTGGGCCAGTGCCTCGCCTCTTGCGGTCCCCGGGCTTCGTTTTCAAGGCTGTGGGCAGAGCCGCCTGCAGACGGTGCCAAGCCTTTCTACGTCCTTGCCAGCACCAAGCACCCGCCAAGTACCTTGAGGCTGGCGTCCAAGCCGAAGCCGTCAAGGATCTGCACCACAGCTCGCTGCTTCTGTGAAAGCTCGTTTTGGGCCGCAGCTCGCGCCTTCACCGACGCTTCAATGGCCTTGTTGCGCTCTCGCCACCTCGGAGCATCTCGGAGCCCGCGAGCCGGGGCCGCCGATCAAGGCTCCGCCGAGCTCCGCGCTCCTGGCCTGCGAAGGCGCCAGTCTTCACGGCTTCCCAGGTGGTCGTCAGAAACTGCCAGCAATTACCAGCAATATCCAGCAATGCAGAAACACACATCGGGCTTGCAGGGAGGCCCAGGGAAGCGCCCCGAAGGCCTTCTGAGACTCTTCTTGATCTTTCAGGATGGCATCTTTTTCAGCGCCCAAGCTCTGTTCACTCTCCTGGAAAAGAGCGCGCTGAACTCAGCAAGCATGTCTTGGACTCGAGCAGAACGGGTCCTGTGCAAGCTGCAGAGCCTGGGCTGCTTCTGCCACGGCCGCCTTGCTGGAGCAGGTGTCGTGGTGCCAAGGCCCCTTTGGCCCCTTTCTCGCTCCTGAAGCCTCGCCCTGCCACATTCCTTCTCCGAAATGCGAAACGATGCATGCGATGCAAACAAACCAAGACTGCTTCTTGAAGATTAAAGCTCTGCTGCACTTGCTTGAGGCGATACACAAAAGCAACAAGCACCACATACGCCACATGGCGGGTAAGCTGATTAAGCTCGACACATTCGAGTCGGTCTCGGTTTGGTCCTGGCAAAGCCACTGCGTTGGTGCTTCAGTCTGGCGTGTTGACTCTTCGAGGCCTTCGTCGCCTTGTCTTCCTGACATTGAGCCACCTGGACGGAGGCAGCGAACACTTGCGGCACCGACCTGACATCTCCTGTCAAATCCCGGGCCTGTCCCTCGACCATCTGCAGCTGCGAAGCGGCGTTCTCCTGCAACCAAATGAGCATAGCTCCCTCACCCTGCAGCAACAGCCCTCGCTGCAAAAGCACGGCTCTGGATCGCCTGCTTCGCTTCGAAATCCGCAAGAGCGGATTGTGCGTTTGCCAATTCCGCTTGCTGTTTTGCCTGAAGGCCCAAATACTCCGCTGCACAACCAACTATCAACCATCATCAACCGCAACAGTGTCAGTGATATCAGTGATATCAACCAAAACAGTATGGAGAGCGACAGCAAACATACCAATTGATGGCATCAGGTCGGGATTTGTCACCAAGTCTATCATCGTTAGGGAATGCGAGTACCAGTACTTGCATCGTGAAAGCCACCTTCGAATACCGCATCGACTCATCACTGTCGTCGTCATTCTCCTCCTCATCATCATCATCATCAGCAGCAGCAGCAGCATCAGCAGCAGCATCATCAGCATTATTAACACCGGCACCAGCGGCACCCTGCCGCGATCTTCGTCGGCAACGTCGCCAATCACTACTCCCATCATTGTCATCATTAGTCTCAACCCCAAACAACCATACCATCGCAACCACTGCAACAACCCCACTGCCACCTCCAGCAATACAACAAGCAGCAGTCGGCAGCAGCAGCAGCAGCAGCAGCAGCAGAAGCCGCGGCGGCCACCACCACCACCACCACCACCGCCAACCCCCACCACATCCCACCACGGTTCTGGCAGAAGCAAAGGCATTATGCTGGCTCGGAGAGCACCTGGAAGCGACCTAGCAGCCCAAGCCCTGCACACCCAAGAACCATTCTCGAAACTCCGGTAACGAGGACCACCCAGAGCCGCCGTGCGGGAAGCACGACATGCACCCCAAGACAGGCACCACACTGTGGCAGGAGTGAGTGCGGTTCACCAAGTTCGAAACACCAAGGCAATGGATCTTACGATGGATTCAGACACGGCCCGAGCAGGACTGAAAGAACGCAATTTTAGTCGACAATGGGCACCGCGCCACACCGGGAGCTGTGTGGAACCGCTCCGCTAGGTGCTGTAGCGGGCGTACCTCGTGGCCTCAACCACCAGGTCTCCTTGCCCTGAGTGTAAGAACCCCATGGCGTTGCCATACTGAATCGGGAAAACAAGACACGCTCAGATTTCTTGTTGAGATTCCTTCGAAACGCATTCGGATGCGCTACGCTAGCGCAAAGGGAACAAGCACAGAGCAGATGCCAGAGTTTCCCGAAGCGACTGCAAGTATTTGCTATTATGTTGTTTACGCAAAAACCGGAGGACCCTTGATGCAAACTGTGCATGGACAGCTATCTAAGCAGCATTGAAAGTAGGCGTAGTTACACGATGCAAACGGTAAAATCAAACAACCAACTTGAAAAGAAACCTTATGTCAAACCGATGCAGCAGGAAGCAAATCCGACACGATGCTACTTAGGGCACATAACACACACATTGTTCGGCAAAACTTCTCTAGCAGTAAAGATGTGGTCTGGGCTCACTTGCACCGTTTCATGGGTGTCGCTTGCGTTTCAGTGCCAGTTCCGTAGTATCTTTTAGTCTCACATGCATCTCTTTCCGACTTATGGCATCGAAAACATCGCGATTGGCGGGGTGTCAGGTTTGGTTTACATGGCCTATGGCTTGAGGGTTTGCTTCGGGTTCCTGGTTTGAAGGGATTTATGTCTAGGGCTGTCCAGGGTTTCGAGTGCTCAAAATGCTTTAGGGCCGTGTAGGGCTCAAGGGTCCCAGTGCACAAGTGTTTGCCAGGCCTCTCCCAAGAACCCATGCCATCCCGTACCAAAGCACACCAGTCTGCACCGCATGCCCAATGACTCAAAAACATCGATCTGGGAGAATGTACTTCTGCACGGCTGGGAAAAGCCAGAGTTTTCCAGCGGGTAGTAAGACGCCTAACGCGATCCGTCTGCAGTCGCGCGTTGCTTAGTTGAGCATTGAAGACGACGCATGCTTAGAATTACGGGCCGCTGGGCCTCTGGTGCAAAAATCAAGACGACCAGTTTCTGGCCAAAGCTGTCACCACATCGGTGCGCTCCCTCATTCATACTGCATCCTCTGAGCACGGTTCTTCAATCAGTGTTCGGCTTCAGGACGCCTGCTGGTGCATTACACGGAGACGGAGATACATATGCTCACCGCTCCCGGCCGCCATCTGAAGTTCTGAATTCTGTTGATTGGAAGCTGAAAGTGATCGGGGCCTGTCTTTCAAACGACCGCCTGCTCAGGCATGGTATTTGATGTGCAAGTTCACCGAGCACCGAGACTGCACACCAAGACTCTACGGCCTGTATCATAAGCCGTCAAGTCCAAACGAATGACTGTAATTTAAGTAGTACTCGTGTCCGCGCGGAGGCCTCTTCGGCAGACCAGAGGAGTGTGCACCAGTTTCCTTTTTCCGACTTTGCTAGGGTCGTCGCAATCAAACGATTGCAACTTTCGTTGTCCTTCTGGCGTCTTTTCCGGGCAGTGCGTCATCGAGCCGGATTTGACAAAGTTAATGATCGGGCGCGCATGTGATAAGCCGCACTAATCAGGAGACTGGCTAAAGACGTGTGGCTATCGCTATCGCCTAGTGTTGGGACTACGAAATTCGAGGAACCGTCATCCTTTGGTGAGCGGATGTGAGCGGGCCGCTGCAAAATGTGTGATCAACCGCCATCGCCCAATGTTGGCGCGGATTTCAGAATGCTTGAATCGCTACGTGCGGTCTTATGAACATGGGCCTAGTGCTAGCCGAGCGTGAGTAGCATGCATGCTTACACCGATTTCATCACTTCGAACTCGCAATCTTTCCAACTCTCACAATTTCATTTTTTATCGGATGCGCTGGACCGTCTCGAAACACCTGAAACCTTCAAATTCTCAAACTTCCAAACTCGTGGACTTTCACGCACAGTTCACCTTGAGACTTTCAAAGCTTTCCAACCTTCGAACTCACAATCGCAACACCGAAACTTTACGAGTATCAAACTGTCCTCAGTGGCGAGCCGCGAGTCCAACTTGGAGCGACGCATGTTATCACCTTGTTGAAGAAATTCCCAAACTCTCAGTCTCCAACTCGCCACTTCGAAAATCCTTCGAACTCCATCACTTCAAGCTTTAAGCACAGATCGAACTTGTCTGATGCCAAAGTTTGGAAACTGAGCTGGAATGAGCTAGGCAACTCGAAAGTTTGCAGCTTGAAAGTTCGAAGTTTCGGGGTTGCAAAGTTGGAAGTCTGAAATCATTCCCAATACTTCGATTTCGCTATAATTCGCCACCTTTCAAAACTTCAAACCTTCAATGATGGAAACGTCCAAACTTCAAACCTTCCACTTTCGAACTCTCGAACCTGAGACTGCATCCATGGGCCAACCATGATAACGTGCTTCCTGACCCAATATCACAGCATAAATCCAACCGTGATAACGTTCACTTAGAAAACAATATTGCGAATTTGGCGACACCGACCATGGCTTCGGACACCGAAAAGCCCGGGTAAGGTTAAAAATATTCTAAGGGTCAAAACCACCTTGCAGTCTCTGCAAAAGCTCTGAAGTGCGGTGCCTGCCAGCACGAACGACTCTTTAGTTCTGGCTTGCACGGGGCTTAGGGATTGGCAAGGTTGTTGCTTCCTAGTGCAAGGCAACTGTTAGTTTGCCCATGTCAATCCTGGCGGCCGTTTCAGGCGGATGCTGTCTAGAGGGGCTGCGCAGGAAGACGCTGCCATTTAAGCCGATCTTGAGCTACAGGGTTCACTCGGCGAAAAAACAAAAAACACTTTGTTGTACATTTCCGGAATGGTGAGCGCTTTTGACCACTTTACTAGATGGAGTCATCCGGACTTAACCACATCTGTGCTTCGTTCATGGCCACCTGTGCCTATTGTATTTGAGACCCGTCCCCGTCTGTTCTTACCCAGCCGCTGTGTGAATCGGGATGCTGCAGGATGTGGCCCAACAGATTCAATCTCCGAAGCAGAGACGACTTAGGGATTGACGCATACCGACTCGGGCAAGGTGCTCGTTTGAGCAAGGAGCATCCGATGGCTGTATAACTCGGTGAGAGTACGACGATTTGAGCCTGGAATAGATTGAAATGGACAGCATTCATGGTACTGGACGGTGTCAGGTAACAGGACCCCATGGCATATGATAATGCTGTGGATAGTACGACAGATGTGTATACAGCGAGTTTCCACCCTGTAGGGAGCCGCCCTGCATCAGAAAAATGGGGTCAAGAGCTTCGATGCATAAACTGCTTTGGAAACCCTTTCTCCTATAGCGGTGTTTACTGTAGTTTCTTTACCAGTCGATTACAGCGCCCTAGCACGTGCGAACCTCACGACGACACTACCGGCAAAAACGACTCCAAAGCATGGCGAGTCCTTGGACAGTGTGATGCAGCTTCAGAACCCTAGAACCACGCTTACATCACCGCGCCTGGCCGTTAAACTGAAGCTCATGAGATGGATGCACTCCGATGAGCCGCAGATCATGAGCAGTAGCGAAGCACCTTTTAATGCTAGCAGAAGCGAGCATCTTCTCTCGTCCCATGCCCCATACAAACGCGCGTTTCGCTCGAATTTTGGCCACGCGGCCGTCGTGCACTAAGCAGACGTATGTCTCCAAACGCACTGCCCCTTACGGACGCCGTCACCATGTTTATGAATTCCAACTCCTCGCGCAGATGTCCAAACAGTCTCAGCGACCTCCTTGCCGGTGCCTCCGACTGACTGCCATGGCGGTGGAAGGAAATGTCAAGCCAGATCTCGGGTCCGCCTCGGTGATGTTACCTTGTTTAATGACCTGCTTGTCCAATGGGGTCTAATGGGGTGCAATTTGCGCGCGTTGGGAAATACTAGCCCACAGCGTTCCCTGGATTGGGGATGTTTGGAGTGTGTATATGCTCCTGCCGGACCACAGCGAGTCTTTTGTGTTGACTTCTTGAGGCTCAATCCGACTTCACGGTTCAATGCTCAAAATTTCCGAATCTCCCAGGAGTGCGATCGTTCGCGACGGGTGCCGAAAAAATGGATGGATAAGGAAACACGAGCGATACCAAAGAAAGACACAAGCGAACCCACTCCCCAAGAGATGCTTCAGAATAAAGTTGGTTTAAAGAAGCTGATACATCATGCAGTTTTGGTTGGGCCAAGGGCCCCCTTGGGAATTGAAGGGAAGGTTGTTCGTTTTAGCACTGTCACATGCAATCAGTTGCAAAGAGATATAACGACTGCAATTGCTACAGCATGCTGTGATGCCAGCCTGAATCTGCTTCAGTGTGGTCTCGACGGACTCGAGCATCGAGTTTTGGTACTCGTGGCGATCGCCCTGAACAGTTACGCCGATAACTCTCCTCATGTCTGAGACGCGAGGGATTTCGCGGCATCTGGCCTTGGCTGAGCTGATGCAGTGTGGCACCACTGCCTGGGGAGGTGGCCGTGAAACTATACTGTATGTAGAATCTAGAATGTAGATCCCGATCTCCGAGAAAAGCTGTGTGTAGCCATGTGTAGCCTCACATAATCGCAACTAAAGGTAGCATCCTCTCAGCTAAGTGCCTGTAGCATCTCAACCGTCGATGCGCTGATGATTCCACGAGCCTCTATGGCCAAGGACACTGGTGCTTCTCAAAACGCAAGCGAACATGCTGAGCTTTGCATGATGAAGCTGTGCACAATGCGCCCGCCTTATCCAGCTGCTCCAGCACCGGTGTCAACTCCTCCAACGGCAAGGCCACTGCCGCATAGAATTCAATCATATTCACACAAAAGCCTCACATGCAACAGCAATGTATTGGTACTCACTTCTGTTTGGCCGTTGCTGCTGTTGAGTCACCATGCCTTGCTGCCTTTCCAGAGTTTTAAACTCCTAGCACATCCTCGCACCATCCGTCCTCAGCCATCACCCTACGTAAGTTTTCCATGTTGAAACATTCGGGCATTCTAGTGTTGCTGATGTTGCTTGCCTGTGTCGGGTAAGCCTAGATTGAAGCGAAGCCCCCTTTGCAGCTCTCAGCATCATGGCCAGACTTTTCCCAAACAAAGCAGCAGGAAGTCGCCGTCCTTCTCCATTGGGTCGACGATCTTGGGCGCTTTGGCCTCTGAACCAAAGAAAACCAAACCCAGCGGAAAATTGAGAAAATTGAGAGCAGCTATGAACCTTGAGCCGGCCTGCTGGGTGCTGGCTTGGGTCTGCTGCGCGCGCTTGCCCTCAGCCGCCGCTCTCCAAAAGCTCCACCCCTTCCCTTCCCCAATCTCTCCCACTCTGCGACATGCATGGGCCCAGACCATTTTGGTTGGGAAAAGCGGAAAGCTCGGAACTGGCTACGCAGACAGCTGAAACGGAAAACACCTGCAGACGGTGGCAAAGCCAAGGGCGTACATGCACAGCCCTTCTACTAAAGCAAGCCCGCCCCTTTTTGTCATGTGCGGGTCTGTCATTGGCCGCACTGAACAGGGGAACCAGCATTCCAGACCCCAGGTTACACAACCTGCGACTAATTGTGGCATGCATGGAAACGGACTCGCAACTCACTTCTTGAGCAAGTCGTCGATAACAGAGTACCTGCCAGCATCAGCGTCGCATCCCGCCGTTGGTGACAAAAAGATGAGAACCCACACAAACTTCCGATGCAAGGGCCGGACAGGAACACACCGCCAATGCCGATACTGCAGCCTATGAGCCTTGGGGCCGTTTCTTCGTTCGAAACGGAGATGGGTTGTTATCAAGGCCTGGTCTCTTCTCTAAGGCCGCCGCTTCAAGGGCGAGAGGCTCTCGTGCATCACCAGCGCCACTCCGACGATGACGATCACCCGCTTCGCCTAGCAGGCCGAGGGCCCAAGAACAAGGAGAGCGTCGCCGCTGCAGAGCCAAGCGGCCGTGTTGGCCACGGAGGAGGTCACGGCGTTGGTCTTCTTGATGGTAAAGGTGGCCAGCCTCACTCATGCTCAACCGCGCTTCTTGATCCGTTCAATTCTGCCACGTGGTCTGGGTGCACCACTCGTTGTATGCATAGAACCAAAGACCCGAGAAGATCAGATTCAACAACACCTCAGCACATGTGGCCAAACCTTCGTACAAGTTGAACCGATGATTGATGGCAGGCCACGATCATGGATTCAAAAGATCTATTACAATCTACCTACCACCTCCATCAGCCTTCTGAAACTTCGTTTATCAATGTGTCAACCATGTCACTTGTGGCTACACAGGAACACAAGCATCAAGCTTGGTGCGAGAGTGGTGGGCTTGTGTTGTGCACTCCGAGGCCACTTCCACGTTGTTGGTCGATGCCAGCTTCAAAAAGGCTCCGAACTTCCTTCCCTGAGCCGGTGAAAAATGCTGCAATCGCATTTCGCTAGTGCATTGGACGTTTCGCGCACATCTTGTCCAGTCGACATCAAACTCAAAATCCTTGTGCTGTGACTGTGATTGCCGATACAACATCACGTTCAGCGCCTCTGTAATGGCCATGATGACGACGCAGAACATGAAGGAATTGATCATGGTAATCGCAAACCTGAGCAGTCTCCCTTTGTATCCCTTCAGTTCGATGGCCCTCGTTGCTAAGCTCGCTCGTTTTCGAATGGTCTGAACCCTACAGCAGAAATCCGTCTGAGCTCGACGCTGATTTCCGACGCCACCCATCCGGTCCTGCAGGACCGGCACTTCTCTTTGTCTTTGACGGTTTGTTTTTAATGCAAAGGCCCTGGAAACAAAAGCATTGCGGATGATCATCGTTGCGGTGACGAGGCATAGTACTATGGGCGGCTTCGGCAATCAAAACAGCCAGACATTCAAGCACAGTCAAGCAAGGTTGGTCCACACGTTGGCTCAACGCAAACATTTGCACATGTTCGAAGAGGAAGGATCTCTGAATATGTCTGAGCATGGCAAACTAACTTCGAGCTGCTCGCGGGCTTGCGGACTCCATGTAGATCTACAAACTTCCAGTGAAATCTTCCGCGGCATATTTGGGGCTGACCGAAATGCCGCAGCCTTCCCTGCACTGGACACACTGGACAGTTGAGCCAATGCACCACACGATACCACACATGTCAAAGTCATAGCCGCAAGACGGAGCTGCCTTCAGCCCCGGGGTCCCCATCAGCTTCTTGTTCTCATTGCCCTGTCGGACGTGTCATCGCGGTGGCAGCGCGGTTGGGTCACACACAAACTCTGAAGGATCTGTACGATTCTTGTGGCGCCAGTGGCGCTCGTTTCTATGTTCTCTCTCTGTGGGCTTGAGTCTCGAGGGAACCGCTCCAGCGCTCCTCAAGCCGCTGCCCGTCGCGCGTTCTTCAGCCGCATCGATGTGAAATGCGAGCAACTGACACAAGAGGTGCCTGCTGCTCAACCGGAGTCTCTCACTTATGAGTCTTTCATTCTTTGTGTTCAAGCTTCCTTTCCGTCTTTTTGTTGGGCTTTGTGACGCTCGTGTGCCTTAGGCGTGCCCCGGCAGCATTGTAGCATCTTTCATGGTTAGCCTCATCTCCATCCTCCCGTGCATTCCAACGACCCGAAAACACAGAGGAAAATGCCTGTGCCCTTGTCGGACGACTGGTCTGTCCGTCTCGCAAGTTTTGCCTAAGCCACCTTTTACGTTCAGCATTCTGTGATGAGCAAAAACACTTTCTAGGACATCTCACAGAACGGCTCTCTTTGAGCGGTATTTGTTTCGACATGTGGTTTGACGGGATCGTCTGTAGGGTGGATTCTTCGGTTTTGAGGTCCGCATGGGTCGCTCGAGAACGCCTCACTTTACTTAATTTGGTGCCGGATGCACAGTGCAAACTCGGACAAAGTCTAGACCACTATTCGGGGCAAAGGCACCTCTGCCGCTCTCTTCTTCTTCCTTCGGGTTAGAGGAGCTGGTCAGGCTCCCCGGCCCATGGGGCCCCCCAGCGTTCCGGGGCTTTCGGGGAGAACTATGCCGCTCTCTCTCTCTCTCTCTCTCTCCCGGGCTTGGGGGCGTGTCACCGTCCCCGGGCAATTTTGCCCACCCGCTCTTATTGAACGGGTTGTGTGGGGAGTGAGGAATGAGTATTAATCATCCAGGCGCTATAGCTATCATAATAAGGTACTATAGCAGTGTAAGGATGATTGAATACTCTCAAGGACACATCCTATGTAGATCCACATCATCTGCCGCTCTCTCTCTGTCTCTCTCTCTCTCTCTCTCTCTCTCGCGAAGATCTGCCTCTTTCTCTTCGAACTTTCCACAGTACTGGAAACTTCGGGTGTATGCAAAGCTAAGAACTCCTAGTTATTGCTTTGCTGTTCTCCGTTCTGCATGCCCCTGTGATGCACTTTCGGTCCTGACCCCGGTTCCGGGTTTGGCATGAGGCGTTGGCATCGGGACGAAGTAAGGTGGTCCGGGGGGGCAAGGGGATACCATTGGAGGGTGCGTCGGCGAACCGAGAACCGGGAGCATGCAGGCTCTGATTGGCCACGAAGCATCGCAAACCTTGAAGGCCGCGAAGACGTTGGCCATGGCTGCCGTAATGAGGGCCGCCCAGGCAAAGTCCAGCTCTGCGAGCGAGGCCAAGACCTCTAAAGCCGAGTTAGACAAGCAGAGAGGGGTGTCTTTTCGATTGAAGACCTGAGACCGAACGAGACGCCTGATGACCTAAGACCGAATGAGACACCGTGCCCGCTTCAGCGGCTGAGATTCCCACAACGCCGCCGATGACGGGGATCAGACACAGCCATTTTCCAAGACTCACCTTCCTGAGCAAAGGGAACGAGGCCGCAAGTAAAGGGCAATTGTGCAGCAATCATCGGGTGTCTGATGCTCTTAGCTCTGAACATCTCTGAACCTCAGATCACCTCCGACCCCCTATTTCTGCGGTCCCCACGATGAGTAGAACATGGTGCCGATCAGCGCGGCGAAGGCCGGCTCCGCAGCCTCCCAGAGTCACTTTCGAGAACTTGGTGACATCGTGCTTCACAACTCCTATGTCCTATGAGCCATCTTGGCATGACAAACCATTCTTCTGCCAACCCTACACCTTTGTGGACCCTTGTCTTCATTTGTCCTTGGAATCCTCTTCCGGAAGCAGCTCTTCCAGATCCACGAATCCACTCCAATTCTCTTACAAGCAAGTCGCTGGCAACACGGCAACAAGGCGTTTCGATCGCAACCACATCAGCTATGTGTGTGAAACACCATGGGACCAACCGTCGCCACGTGTAGCCTTTCCGAAGAGAGTCCTCACAGCCTCCATCGAACGCTACTTTGTGTTGAAAGCAGGATGGGGCCTACACGCGCTAGAAGTTCTCGAACTTCTGCGGGACAACTTCTGAAAACTACTGTCGACTTTCGACTTATCCGGACAAGCTGAAAGCTGCGGAGCTGTGAGCTCTGCTCGTCGACAGTGACGCAGCCCTTGCACACACCTTTAAAAAGGCGATTCATGCCAATCCATCCCATGAACCAAGCAGGATGCCAACATACTCAGAAGTTGCCTTCAGAGCATTCACCACGATTGGATCTACAAGAGACGTGCCAGCGTGATGGCAATACGCGAACTTTCTGGGAGGTTGCGGCAAGCCTCTGCGGATGGAACACTTCGCATCTGAATCCTCCGGGTCCTGAAATGCTCGTGGCCACGAGTTGTTTGTGGGCCTTGCGGAAAAATCAAAAATGTCGGAAAGGCCTGCTTGTTGGCATGACCCGCTGACCGGACGTTTAGGTGACCTATTTGATCAAATGCCCAGAGGCTCAAACATCGTCCTGGCGTCGGTCCTGGGTGCCTGCCCTTGACTGGTACGGACGGATGGTGGGACTTCAAGGTCTGCGACGGTCCAACAGCCATCACAAGTAGAATCGGACAAGCCGGCACAGATTCTCACAGGTGGGGCGTCCCAAAAATACTCCGAGCTATGCAACCCATGCAAAACTGTCATGTATCTGTTGAGCGATGTAAAGCGGTTCCTGAAAAGGAGAGCAACTGGACGCCTACATGTTCCAAGACGTCCTGTCAGTTTTTTACATCGAGGGAGCAAGCCGCCGAATCTGCAAAAACGTTTTGGGCTTGATGGCTGCCACGCGTAAGGGGAACACAAGAAACAAAGCATGCCCATCACGACGCATCACGATCTCTTCCGGCTTTAAATCTGTGGGACAACTCCTGTAAGCATTCATTTTGCAAGCGGTGAATTTGCACAAGTTGACCCGGCAATTTGCATGGCGAGCGCCTTCACAATCTGACCGAAGGAAACAGCTCCCGCACTGAGTGCAAAAACCGAAGCGGCGTGAGCACCTCGGAAAGCATGCTTCCGACCGGGC